CTCATTTCAACCTTCCCTCACTTTCCTCTGGGAGGTCTCCACACCCCCTGAGTGCCACAGGGAGATGCTTCTGCCCCCTTTCAGGAGGTGGATTCATCCCTGCTGTGTGTATTATCATCCCTGCAAGGTGATGCTTCTCTGGGATGCTGCCATCAGCCCAAGAACCTCCTCTAGAAATGGCAYATTCACAACCTGGAGACATGATTGATTTCTATGTTAAAGGAATAGCTTCTCACTGTGCTTGTATCAACACAAAGTAAGGCCACCTTGGTTATCGCCATCTTTAGCAGCAAACATTCAACAGTCTCACCTACCTCTTCACCAATCCATTTGCTTTCTTCAGGAGCTTCACCCTTCAGCTGAGGTTCCCAGAGCTACAAGAAGACCCTTCAGCTCATCTTCTGAGCAAACCCTTCTCTGTATTCAGGACCCTATGAACCACAGGCATCCTTATCCTTGTGTTTTAGATGCTCTTGCCAAAACAGCACCTGAGAATAGCCCCCAGACCAAACTGGGGGATAAATCCCCAACATCCACAAGCCCAGGTACAACTGGGAGTAGTTTTTAGGGAGATACAAAGAACAGGCCAGATGCTGAACACCACAAGGCCTCAAGGACTCATCTTGCCTTTCCTCTGCAGCACCAACCCCCCTGTGAAGGAAAAGTACCCACACTCTTTCCTATCCTAAAGTTAGCAGCTCTTATAAAATAGAGAAATGAGGGACAGGGGTCCACAAGCTGCTGCAAAATCAGGGTGAGCTCAAATCCAGGCTGCCTCCAGGACTGACATCTGCTGGGGCATTCACACCTGGTTTGGAATGAAATCAAGGAGAGGTGAGAATGAGGTAAGGAGCAGCTCAACTCCGTCAAGCTGAGGTCATCCAGCTGTGCTGCTTGAAAGTTTGGGAATGTTAAAGTAAAATCTACATATTTTAAAAATGAGACACCTATGAAGTTTAAGCATTGCCAGAGTCTGGGAGCAGCTAATTACAATTCTGACCAGCTGCAGGTTTCCAGGTTGAATTCTTCCTAAATTGCTAAATTAGATCTTGTACTCCATWCTAACTCCTTCTCTAGGTTTCTGAGAAATGGACAATCTGAAAGAGTTCTATCAATTACTCTGCAGCAGATGCAAGGCTTGAAAAGAAAAAATATTCATTTTTAATGGCATTTGGTACATTACAAAAATCTGTATCATTCTTCAGGTGCTGCTTTGTATAGCACTGGCCTGGGACCCTTCTGAATTTAATGGTAATGAAGTTTTATGCTGAAAAATGCTGAGTATGTAGGGAGCAACAGGAACCACTGGCGCCAGAAGTGGGATCAACATCACTACAGTAAAAGCAAAGCCTTGGAAAAGGAACTTGACACTGGAGAGGTTCCCCACTGCAGCTGTAAGGAACTGAGTTTGTCCTGCAGCATCCCTAGGCCCATCCAGTTTTTGCAGTAGGGCCAAAGGTAATCCCCACAGATCTCTTCCCTGAGACAGTGTTGGATGAAGATGTGTCCAGTGGGGCAGATCAGCCCCTACACAACAGACTGACCAAAACTCAGACACCCCACCCCAGGAAAGGCTCTGGCTCCACAACAGCCAAGTGCTGGATGGAGCCCACGATCAGGATCACGTCCCACTGGCCTCGTGCAGCTCCTGGGCACAGCCACATGGACAGTCCTGGCATGGACATGGCAGCACGAGGGGCAGCACCTCCAACCCCCTCCAAATGAACAGATGTGCCCGTCACTTCGTAAAATAGAGTTTTTATTTGTTCATACAAATAGTATGAATTATCAGAATTTCATTTTCCTAGAAACATCTTTCTCTGTGTAAAATTAATTTGTGTTGTACATACCACAAAATACTCCATATACATTTTTTTTTAGATTTTCATTTTTGTGGCTTTTTTTTCCTTTCCATTTTGTTCTTTTTTTTTCACAAATTGGCTACTACACTACAGAACCATGTTACAGACAACATATCACTAATACCTGTACTGCACTTCCAAATACAGGACTGAATGAAACTCAGCCATAAATTAATGTTGCAATGTGAAAAAAAAAATCAACCAACCAAACTTCTAATCACACGTCCAAGCTTAAGTTAAATAAAAAGGGCATTAAAAAAAAAAAAAAAAGAAATAAAAAAAAAAAAAAAAAAAAAAAAAAAAAAAAAAAAAAAAAAAAAAAAAAAAAAAAAAAAAAAAAAAAAAAAAAAAATTTTTTTTTTAAAAAAAAAAAAAGGTATTAAAAAAAAAAAAAAAAGCACTGATTCCAATATTAGCAACCAAACGAGCACCACAGGGAATTCACCTTCATTGTCATATTTGTTAGGTAAGGCTTTCTTACATTAAAAGTCTACTGCAGACTTCATTATGAAGGATATTGCATCAAGATTAACAATTTGCTTATGGTTAGAATTATTACTCACTCTCTGTATTTCCACTCTCCAACAAGTTTGCTCCACAAGAGCCTTTCACAGCAGGGCTTGATTATACAAATTAAGCCTGCACCCAGCTGTACAGGTCAGGAAGGCATTGGGATATTAAAAACTTGTTTCCAAAAAGTAGGAAGGAAGACACAGGGGATACAAAACTCTTCTGGCACTGAGCAGATGGCACATGCTCCAGAGGGAAACACCCAGAAAGGAGCCCATGCCAACACACAGGTCCTGGAGGCTCCACCAGTGAAACACTCAGGTAAGTAGCACAGCCAAGCCTGAGAACTCRTCCAAAGGCCAAGCAAAAAGGTCAAGCTTCTCTCCATGCATTGTGTAAGATGCTAGAAGGAAGACTGATGCTTTGAAAACACCMTTGTTTTTCCACCAGGAAGTATTTTCTTCTCAGTGCCTGTAGCACCTTCCCCTCAGTCACCCAAAAGCAGCAGGGTTTGGGATAAAGCAGACACACCTCCATTCACCACCAGTCCTGGCAACAGGGAACAGAGCCAAGAGCTGAAGCCAAACCCYTTGAAAGTGCATAGATCCACCAAATTGCTCAGGTCTGCAGCTGAATTCTGCAAGATCAGGGGAAAGYGGGGACTGTCAGCCTGAACAGCCCAGCAGGTCCCACATCCCACCTGTGCCCCTTGAAGTCGGACTGAATTGGCCCAAAGTGCCATCTCTTCACTAGAAGTGGCTCAGGGCAAGAAGAACTTACCCTGTTTGTGGGAGGACGTATTTGAAGGCAAACCCCAAGGAGGGATTTGCATCCTGCTCACAGTAGCTTTGTAGGCAGCTCAAGCTGATACTATGTTTAAAATCCCCCTTTTCTTGAGGTCACCCCCATGTGCTGAAACCCAAGTGTGAACCCACGCCCAGCAGTGCAAGTCACTAAATCCCTTTGGAGATGTGACACTGCTGAGCCAAGCCAAAAGCCCTCAGGTTTAAACAAAGCTCTGAAGGGCAGCTCTGTACCTGCAGATGTCTGCAGCAGACCCAGAGCCAAGTCTGCTCTTTGCTCKGTCTACCAGAGCAGGACCAGAYAGAGACCCAAACAGAGCAGCTCAGRCTCCRAGAAACRTTTTCATCACCCAACAGCCACAGCARAGAGATAGAATGGGCAGGCAAGAGTAAGAAGGCTGCAAAAGTAAAACAAACATTTGGGAAACATCACTGAATGGACCCCACCACAGCTGGGCACAGCTCAGAAATGGGCTGCTCCAGGGGGGAGCTGTGGAGATGTGCAGCGCATGTATTTCTATAGGCAGTGCATATAAAATTACATGYTCTGCCCACTGGTGTTTTTGTTGTTTCCAGTTTCACTCACACTGATCATGGAAGTGCTCCTACAGAAACACCAGCAGATGCTTGGTGCAGTGCATTATTTCAGTGCTACGGGTGAGGTGTTTTAAGTGTTGTTGCCCAACAACATCATAGTTCTGTTTCTGTTAAAAACTCAACAAGAAAATCCCTTCTGCTGCCGCCTTCCTCCAAAAATGWCCCGTCACACTGGCAGAACCTCTGACAGCAATCATAAGGCATCAGACACATATGGCGCTTATCGGGACCTCCTGAGCTCACAAAACACTGTCAGAGCTCTYAGGACAGCCCACCCAACCTGTCCTGGAGTTCCACAGCAATTGCTTCCAACCAAGGAGAAAGATTTAATTCAGGTTAATGGTTACCTGCTTGCAGCCTCCTTTCCTGCCTGGCTGTCACCCCTGTGCTCAGCCAGAACACCCCTGGACTGCCAAGAATACCTCAACCCCAGCATGCTTAGACACTCCCCTATTTTTCTACAGATTCACCCTTGCTGTTAAAGCAGCATTTCTTCCTGGCTCTAAGCAAATGCTGCTTCTCAGAAGAGACCTTGGATAGGGTGTTGGACCAAARAGTGATGGGAATTAACAGGGCTAAGGGTGATGTTCCCCAGTCTCATGTACTGGAGGTGCTGTGGTGGCCGTGGGACTGGAAGTAACACTGCCTGTGCCATATCCTGGGACACACTCCGTGCTGGGCAYGGTGCCAGGCAGACAACTGAGGTTTTCCTGTGGTTCTGCTGGTTTCTTTGGTGGGTGGAGGATGCTCCACATGCTGCAGGCATCTCCCAGCAGTGCCTGGAATGCATGGGTACTCCTGGTGCAACACCTGCTGCAAGTCACTCTGACCAGCACTCGTCACCCACAGACACAGCATTTTACATTTGTCCTGCAGTAAAGATTTTAAGTGCATAGAGGGATTGTGGGAAAGAACGTCCTGGCCAAAAAGCAGGAAGGAAAACTATACTGAAGAGAGCTCTGCCCATGCAACAGGTTCTGCAGCTTCTCTGCTGGAAAAAGAGCATGTTGCCTTCCCAGCAGTCATGAGTAGGAGCCTTATGGCTTGGGGTTCCCCAYACTTACAGCCACAGGGGAAAATGCTGCTGCTCAGCAAATGCATGTGTGGTGCAGGAATGCCCAGCCTCCCTCCCACCCACCCCAGAGAAATTTCCCTGGGGCCATGGGACTAACCAGAAAACTGTGGGATGAGAGAACCCAACACAGGAGCAGAGACGGGGACACCAGAATAGGGAAAGCAAGTGTTTATAAAGGCCAGATACCCGTAACAAAAATAAACTTGTGCTTTCCCTCCCTCCCTTCYCTTCTTTGCTTTTTTTGATTTTTTAAATACAAATTTTGTTTAGGAAAAGTGGAAGCACCGTCTGTTACAAACCAAACCAAAGAGAAAGCAGAAGGGGGGGAAAAAAAAGGAAAGGAGAGACATATTACACCATGGAATGTTAAACAGGTTACAGGCTACTGTTCTAGCCAGTGCGGTTAGGCAGCTTAGTGAATTAATTGCTTAGGAATTAAAAATAAATTATTATAAAATAGATTTCTGTACATTTTACATACATATATATCTCTTTATATAAGCAAACCGTGCTGGGCAAGTAATTACAGGGGGCTTTCCCATGCCAGGCTCAGTCCCAGCCGAAGTCCTGCCCTGTCATCTGGTAGAATTTCATGTTGAAGGGCCGGTAGAARTCCCGCAGCCTCTGCACCACCTCCTGGTCGATGTCAGGGTGGGTCCTGCCTTTTGTCTTCCCCAGACAATGGGGTTTGCTGCTSCCTTCTGCCTTCTTCAGGCACGGGAACCCCTTGGTTTTGTTGAAGTAGAAGTGTTTGTCRGTGATGATCCTCTTGAGGCCCAGAAAGTCCTGGACCCTGCCCAGCTCCCCCGCAGGRTCACTGATCAGCCTCTCSCCRCTGACAAAGAGGATCTGCCCRATGGGGAAGTAGAGGAGCCAGTTCTCCAGGTGCTTGGCGTAGATGCCAATCTGGATGGCGCTCCACGAGGTGTCGATCAGGCCCGTAGTCCTGTTTTTGAARGTCAGRCTCTCAAAGGTGGGGATGTCGGGCTTCTTGGAGAGYGTCTGGGTGTAGTCTGAGATGGCTCTGGTCACAGGGTCCCGCACCACCACGATGAGCTTTGTGCCCTTGGACATGGAGGAGATGCGRGCTGGGGCCTCCTTGGTGACAAAGTAGCTGGGRGTCTTCTCCATGGTGATCTGCCCCTCCAGTGTCTTGGGCATCAGGTCCCTGCCAGCAAAATGCACAGACATGGGTCAGAAGGGCAAGGAAGAGGAACAAAATTATCCATATGCATTTATATATAAGTTCACACATAGATACATAAGAATTCTTCTCCCTAAAATGGCTTCACAGGCCATTTGGTTCATACAGAGAAATCTACTTCCCATTGATTTAGGGATTAGGGGAAGATTATTACTAAAGGCCACAGTCTTAGAAATCCAGCTGAGTAATCTCCCAGTTATCCATGAGTGGATTAGCTGAGCTATMCTCTGCACCTGGACCAGGGCTACACATGCTGCACCAGCTCCAGACTGGTCAGGATGGGTCCTGAGCTGCACCAGAGAGCTTTCCTGACTTATGTCAACACCACAGAGACCTCAGCCCCAATCCAGAGCTCATTTCCCCATTGGAATGAAAGGACAGTATAGCAGAAAAGCAGGAGATCACTGGAGYATGTCCACCTCACTTTCCCTCAATATCCCAAATGCAAAACATTGCCCAGTTCAGGTAAGAGGGTGCAATTTGTCCCTGGCTTGCCAACAGCAGGACTTGACTCACAGGTGCTTTCTTGCACCCAGATTCAGCCCCTGCTTTACTATTCCCTACCACTTGTTACCTTACATGAACTAGAAAGAGCATCAAGAGCTGCTGGTGGCATCTTCAGCACATCCCCRTCCAGGAGATAATGAGGACACCCCACCTCAGCACTGCCCAAGGTGCTGTAACTCAAGGTTACAGCAGGTCAGGATATGGTATATAACTTATACAACTATGAAGAATACAACCTTAGTGCATGGGCAAGACATATCTACACAAAGTACCTTTAAAACTTAAAGCTTTCGGCCATTTCACCTCATTCCCTGGCTGTTTCTAATTAACCACATGGGGAAGCACTAGGGAGCTTGCAGAAATTATGGAAGTGGCATGAAGCACAAAGAGTCATTTTTTCCTATCATTCACTAGGCAAGCTAAAATATTTTAGACTGTTTTCTGGTTCTTTCCCTTTATAGCCCAAACAGACTCATTTGCTCTGGGTTGTGAGACAGTTGAAAAGAAAAGGCAAAAGGGGGGTCAGGCACAAAATTAAAGCTATAAAAGTTGATTAAGTTTTCAAAGCATCCACCCAGCACAGAGAAATAAGCAACCAGTGTGTGATCTGCAAGCCTGAAGCTGTGCTTCCCTCAGCCATATGACACCACAYAGTGTTCCCAACAGCCACCTCCTTGCTCATTGTTTTTATGTTTCCACAGCAAAGATCACCAGGGTTCTTGCAATTAAAAAAGCCACGGATAATATGGCTCAAGCCAATGATTGCCCTGATTATGAACTCGAGGGAAGTAAACTGACAAGTCTGTTCTGAGGGCAAATAACAAGAGACACAGGAATGAGAGGTCTGTTTGCATCAAAAATAATCCCACATCTATGAAATTTGGTCAGTTGCTCTTTATGCAACTATTGGTGATCTCACACTGGAGCTGGTATATTTTACATCTTCAGCCTCTGGCACTATCTTTGAGCAATGTGTTTCCTGGCAAGGGGCAGCCAGTGGCTGCACCTCCACCCCACAGAGGAGCTGTGCCTGCAGGCTCCCATAAAGCTCCTTCTGCATAGTCCCAAGTGGGAGAGTCCCTGTGCCACATCCATGTGGGACTCCAGGAGAAGTGRTGATGGACAAGCTGGACAGTGCAGGAAGAGGATATCAGCTTGTGGAAACTCCCTGTCATGCCCAGGGGTGGTGGCAAYCTGAGGGCTCGGATTTCAAGTCCACACAAGTGGAGTTTCACATGAAGATAAAAATCACACTGGTCTACCAGATACCTGGGATGTGAGAGCTTCTGGAAGTCAGTGTGTGCCAAAAACAGCAACCAGAATAAAACTGACTAATCCTCTGCCTTTCTGGCCAACTCTGCAACCCCATAATGCTGTCACAGAACAGGGCAAATCAATAACGCTCCGAGCAACCCTTAAATTTACTGTGCACTGATGTGAGTTTCGACATTTGCTCATTAAGAGGTGTCTTTTTTTATGGCCACATTAATCCCAAATTCTACATCCTGCATTGGCCACCAACTCCTTTTCAGCTTGATTTAAGAGGTTGTTTTCAACCCAAGAAGTTCTTAATGGCCTGGGGCCTGCCTAGAGAGAAGAAAGCTTCCCAAAACATTCTCAGGTTGCCCATGCTGCACTGAAGTCCTTTGGCTTTAGGTCAGGTCCATCAGACTGCTGGTTGTATGGGGCCCTATATTTGGGGCTGATCTCTCCTCCAGGACTATTACAGTCAGAAGTTATCAGTCTCGTGGGAATGATTMAAGGCTTATTTTTCTTCTCCTTGCACAAGAAAGGCATTGGGTACAACTGGGCTATGAAATAGAAYGAAATTGCTGGGGATGGAGTGCCAAGTCAGTTGATCCAGTTGGGAAACACAGGTTCCTAATTAGCATTTCAGMAAATAAGGGGAATACACCATAAGCAGAAGAAAGCACAGAGCAACTCTTTACCTAAGAGGCATCCACTGGCCTAGCGCCAGTCCCTTTTCAGTGTAGTTCATCTCCTGAATCCACACTGCAGTTGTGGCTGAAGGCACTCAGTTCTGGGCAGGTCTAAACCTCTCAGACTGTTGTTTTTGGAGAGGGCCTGAATTCTGTGCAATTTAAGAACATTTTGCTGGTGACCCATCACAGCAAGTGAAGCAGAGCAGGGCACATTGACACACCTATTTGCCCTCAGGYTAGCTAACACAGGCTGAGGTGAGCAGAGGTATAAATGAAACTTCAACCCACGTACAAGACTTGGATCCACCAAAACCAGCCCTCAGGCCTTTGCTCCTGCTGTCCCTTCCTTGTACCCACACAAGTGCCAGGCATAGCCCAAAACKAAGATGCTCAAGATTGTCTCAGACTCTACTTTGTAAGGTGGCTGCAYGAAAGGAAGACAGCTGCAAGTGAAGCCAAATATTGTGGCCCATGGATGTGGTTTGATCCTCTGACAACACCAAATCCAGGAAAGCAAAGTTTTATTGCATGGGCATGTCAGTTGTGAGGAGCTTTCCCATGTTTCCATAATTTCCCACAGAGGCACCATCTGTCATGCTCACAGCCAGAGACAGCAGAGCCTTAGGGACAGACAGAACTGGTATGCTGGCTGGTCTGAACTCACAGTGGTGGAAAAGTCACCAAGAAGCATTTATTCCCATTCAAACCACAGCTGGAGAAGGGCAACTTGGCCCAGCAGAGCACTGAAGCTACAACACAACACACGGGACATAACATGTTGGTGGAAGGAGGACCAGATCCAGCCTCAAACATATCTGCTCCAAGACAGCAAGGGCCATGTTGTTAAATTACAACTGCTGCTTCGGGAGAGAAGAGAGGAGCTGTGATGATCAGAAGCCACAATGCCCTGGCAGGATGCAGCCCCTTKGGAGAAAGGAGTGGGGTCCAGCAGAAACCTACTTTCAGCTCAGGAGTGAATAGCAATCTCCCCAGGGCAGCTTGTGACCACTGTGGAGCCTCTGTTTCCATGGAGGATTCACAGACACCATGGAGACATGGGCAGCTCCTGCCAGCACTGTCTGGTGTAAGGTGAGAAAAGCAGAGGTGCAGCCACCACTGCTGTCCATATGGGAGAGCAAAGGGATCTGATAGAGGGAATCAGGCTGTGGAAAACAGAGCTCAGCTGAACCCCAGGGCTGGATAGAGACACCACTGAGGGCCAGAGTGGAAACTGTAGTGGAAACTGGTATGAAAAGCTTGGCAAGTCATCCCTCCTGGCTTGTTACCTTCTGCCTTCTGGCAACCTGGAGTTCAAAGACCTCTGGAGACAGCATCTGCATCAAAATCATCCCATTTCACAGTGACTATGAACTGTGTAATCCTTTCAAACCCACAAACACTTCTGGCCTTGAGAACATCCCACAGCAGAGTCTCCCAGCACTAAAGCGCTGCCTCTACCTGTCATTTTAACTCCCTTCCCACTTTCCTGCTTAGGAAGGGATGAGGCACGTGCTTGCTGAGCATGGAAGAAGGAAGTGAGGATGAGGAGCAGACTCCCAGCATCCTTGATTCCCCACCAACCCAGCCTGCAAAGCAGTGRTGGGGCTCAGTGCTGCTGACTTGGGCAGAGCTGCTGGCACTGGGGTCCCAGAGAGGAGAGGGAGKTGCTGTGTGAGCACAGCTATGAATTTTGCATAGCTATGAATTTTGCACAGGCAAAGACCAAGCCCCTAACCCTGAGCTATTAACATGTCAAGAGGGACAGAGGAAAAGCTTTTCCTTTAATGAATATTCCCTTAGTGAAGCCTGCACCCTTCGCAGGCAAATTGATAGGCTTAGTCTAAAGATGGATTGGCCTACTTTACCTATTAACCACTTAAACTAATGTAATAAAGGCTCTCTTCATTCAAACAGCCCTAATCCCCAGCCYCACACAGCTCTGAAGCTTGGAATAAGAAGGGATACTAAGATGAATTCAGCCAGGCTGCTGCTTGGACAGGCACTGGGCGGGGGATTTTATGGGGGTTTTTTTGAGTGCAAACWTCTTCAATGTGAAAACTGGACCCAGAGTGAGATAAATTTACAAAGTGGGGATGACAGGTGGCCACATGGTAATCCAATCCTCAAGCCTAATGTCCTTTGTGGCAGCTTTTGTCTGCATAGAGGGGCTCCAGGCTAATCTGCTGCCACTTCTCAAGGAGGAATAGGTGAGGGATCAGCAGGGCAAGGGGACCCCCACAACCTGCTGCTGCATTATTTGCCACAGGTAGGACAGACCAGTGCAGGGCAAAGCACAGCAGYGGTGGCTGGTTTTATCCCCAGGGACGTCTGTTGGTCCCCCCACGCACCTCCTGCCACAGCAAACACCTGCTGGGATAAACCCTCCAGCTCTGGAGCCTGAAGCCCATGGCAGGGCTAAGCCTGGGGGGCTGCAGACACAAGTGTCCCCCCGTGRCGGGGTCACCGTCAGGCTGCCCAGCCAAGACCCAGCACACTCAGGTGTCCTGCTGCCCA